TTATTGCCCTGATGGTGGAAATGGGCATTTTCAATGCTTGTGCTATTTTCTTAAAGACATTTCAATTTTGTGAAGCTCAACAACCTTTTGCCGCACATCACATCTATATTCCTTGGTCTTACCCATTGTTATGAAAGAATAGGGGAATTTGGCCAAAGTGTTACCTCATACAGTGCCTTGCGAAAGTATTCGGCCCCCTTGAACTTTTCAAACTTTTGCCACATTTCAGGCTTCAAACATAAAGATATAAAATTAAATTTTTTTGTGAAGAATCACCAACAAGTGGGACACAATTGTGAAGTGGAACGAAATCTATTGGATATTTGAATCTTTTTTAGCAAATAAAAAACTGAAGTGCATTATAAGTGCAAACTCACTCCAGAAGTTCAGCGAGGATCTCTGAATGATCCGTGTTGTCCTAAATGACTGATGGTGATAAATAGAATCCAAGTGTAATCGAGTCTCTGTATAAATGCACCTGCTCTGTGATAGTCTCAGGGTTCTGTTGAAAGCGCAGAGAGCATCATGAAGACCAAGGAACACACCAGGCAGGTCTGTAATACTGTTGTGGAGAAGTTTAAAGCCAGATTTGGATACAAAAATATTTCCCAAGCTTTAAACATCCCAAGGAGCACTGTGCAAGCGATCATTTTGAAATGGAAGGAGTATCAGACCACTGCAAATCTACCAAGACCTGGCTGTCCCTCTAAAGCCATTTCTCAAAGATATCCATAAAAAGTCTCGTCTAAAGTTTGCCACAAGCCACCTGGGAGACACACCAAACGTCACACCAAACGTTGAGAACTTGTTTCTTCTTGCCACTCTTCCATAAAGGCCAGATTTGTGCAGTGTACGACTGATTGTTGTCCTGGACGGACGCTCTCCCACCTCAGCTGTAGTTCTCTGCAGTTCATCCAGAGTGATCATGGGCCTCTTGGCTGCATCTCTGATCAGTCTTCTCCTTGTCTGAGCTGAAAGTTTAGAGGGAAGGCCAGGTCTTGGTAGATTTGCAGTGGTCTGATACTCCTTCCATTTCAAAATGATCGCTCGCACAGTGCTCCTTGGGATGTTTAAAGCTTGGGAAATCTTTTGTATCCAAACTGCGTCTTTAAACTTCTCCACAACAGTATTACGGACCTGCGTTCGTTCATGATGCTCTCTGTGCTTTCAACAGAACCCTGAGACCATCACAGAGCAGGTGCATTTATACAGAGACTTGATTACACACAGGTGGATTCTATTTATCACCATCAGTCATTTAGGACAACATTGGATCATTCAGAGATCCTCGCTGAACTTCTGGAGTGAGTTTGCTGCACTGAAAGTAAAGGAGCCGAAAAATTTTGCACGCACCACTTTTCAGTTTTTTATTTGCTAAAAAAGTTTCAAATATCCAATAGATTTCGTTCCACTTCACAATTGTGTCCCATTTGTTGGTGATTCTTCACAAAAAATTACAATTTTATATCTTTATGTTTGAAGCCTGAAATGTGGCAAAAGGTTGAAAAGTTCAAGGGGGCCGAATACTTTCGCAAGGCACTGTATTTATACCCCTGTGAAACAGGACGTCATGGTTGAACAATTTCCTGTTCCTAGTCACCGAGGTGTACTACACAAAATGTAAAATATCAATGGGAATTCATAGGGGGTGCCAATAATTGTTGCACACCTATATTTACCAAAGAATTTTTTTATAAACCTGTGTTGTGTTTGCAGTTGTTTGATGTCCATGAGAGCAGAGTATGTTTGTAAATATTTTGAACAAAAGATCAAAAGGTTAAACAAAAGGTTAAGACAAATTTTCACAGCCTTCTTTGCTCATATTTACCAAGGGTGCCAATATTAGTGGAGGGCACTGTATCTACCCATTCAGGCTTCATTATGAAAGTGTAGGTGATTAATTTTAGAGATAATGTGTGAGGACGAAGGAGGCTTCTTTAAAAGTAAAAAAAACCCAAAACCTTCCAACTTTATTTAGTATAGCATGATAATTAATGTTAATGATTGGAACCTGGGCTTTATCTCACAGTGAGACATTAATCGATTCGTTATACAGCAGCTCCAGAGCTCAGGATCGAACCGGAGACCCTGGAGCTGTGAAGTGGTGGCAACGCCACCTGCTGTGCCACTGTGCCTTATTGTTCAATAATATATTAATACTATTAGTGCAGCCTTTCTTGCTGCTGCAGCTGCTGTGACCTGTGGTCGTGTTTGCTACTGCTCTGACCTGAATTTTTTTTCTTATTGCAATTGAATGCATGTTTTTTTTTCCCCTCATCAGTCTTGGCCTTTTTCCCCCATTCTGTGTTTTGGTGTTGATTTGAGAAGTAATCAATCAAGTAATAATTTTTTTAACATCATAGAGCAGGGGTGTCCAATCTTATCTACAAAGGGCCGATGTGGGTGCAGGTTTTCATTCCAACCAAGCAGGAACCACACCTGATTCTACCTGTTTAATCAGTTGATCTTGGCTTTCAATAGACTCAGGTGAGGATTCGGCTTGGTTGGAAAGAAAACCTGCACCCACACCGGCCCTTTCTGGATAAGATTGGACATCCCAGTCATCATGTCAGGCTTTTAGAGTGGGATAGAGTGGCATGTCTGACTTTTAAATTTTGGATACACGGTTCAAAAGTTATGATCATAAATGTACTTGAAAATCAAGCCCAAATTTGACCTGATGGTGGAACTACAGCAGTGGTAGCACTTGGCCCAAAAATGTAGTCAGAATGTTCTTTTGACCCTCCCCAATCAGTGTGCCAAATTTAACAACTTTTGACCAGACGGTTCTATGGGCTACCATAGACATCCTAGGCAGAAGAAGAAGAAGAAGAAGAAGAAGATCTTCGGTGCTTGGCCCCCTAACAATAACAACCAGTGCTTTTGTATTTTTTTGTACTTTCTTGGTGAACGTCCTAATATTTTCAGGCATTCGTACCTGTGCATCTATAATTTTCTGCTTGGAGTCGACTATGGCCTGCATGTCAGTATGGTCTTTTTTCAGCTCATCTTCAACAGACATCAACCTGCAACAAAAAAAACACAACAACAACGATTTTAGCACTAATTATTCATCAGTTGTTCCACACACAGGCATACAGTATTAGTCAGATTTTGTGGATATTGGTCCAGAACATGGAACATCATATTAGACAAAAGCTGACACTTTTTATCCATCCGGATTCTTAGAGGAAAAAATAAACCCTGTCCTGGTATGTGACAGTTTTTCTTTTTTGTTTGTTTGTTTTAGTTAGTCTATTCTAGTCTGTTGCGTTTTCATTCAATAATGAGCTTTCAGTTCAGTTCAGTTCAGTTCAGCTCTGTTTAGTTCAGTTTAGTTCAGAGCTGAAAAATTTTTCCCCCAAAATTGCTTTGGTTCCAGAAGTTTCTCTCCCATTCATTATCCCTGTAAACTTAAAAAAATAAAATAAAATCTTATGTAAAGACTTTAAAACATCAAAACCAATGCAACCAGCTAAGACATGAATCATGATCTTTTTCAAAAGCTCACAGCAAGAGACCAAAATGACAATACTATGTAATATATATCATTTATAAGGGAAATAAAGTACTCCTCGTCAGGATCTTGTGTTTCTACCATTGTATACCTCCAGTATTTAAGTGTTTTTACAGTCATGAGAACACAGCTGCCTAGCAACTGTGAAATCTGGACAGTGATGATAAATTAGCGTACGGTTGATGCTAACGATTAAAGAACCAATGTTAAGGCAGAAACAAAACAGTATCATCAGGACGATCTATATTTAGCACAGATGTGCTGCTAAATTACTAAGAAAACATTCCATGTGACTGGAATGAAGCTATAATTATATTTAACCTTGACCGCTAACCAAACGTCTATGGGTTCTGCTATATTGGAACACTTATCAACTTGTGAAGCTATCAAATACCACATGCTTTTTGTAGGTTTATATAGTTTGTATATATTCTAATTCTAATTTATTGTTCTTCACTTTCCTTCATGTTTATTTTTGCCTGTTTAATTCACTAGAAAGTCACTAGCTAGCAACTAATCTATCATGTTCATGTAAACTGGAACTCATATAGACATTTACACCTTGTTGTCCTGCTCAACATAGTTGCCTATACAGCCTGTCATATCCCAGTCATGGGGGTAGTCTTTAATTCAGTATCAGTACAAAAAAGAACTGTAACTGTTTGGCTCTATTTCCATGGTTACAGTGACATCGCCGACGAATTGATGTCAAGTTGATTGAATTGTTGGTAGTGTGGTCCATACACATCTGTAAAGTTTTAAAGCATTAATTTAGCAGGTCAGTGTGTATGTATATATATATATATATACACACGCACCATTTTAATATGTAAAATTAATCAATATTTCAACCACTGCGCTGCGGAAAGTAGTGACAGTATCAATCAATGTGCTTGTTCTAATATGTTATTGTTTCTATAGCAACAACTCATTCAAATGATGACTTGTATGATGGATGCTTTACACAAAATAAGACTAATAAACTGATTGAAAAATGTGCTTTTATTTAACAAATAAAAACCTGGTTGTTGACATGGTGAAGCTTTCTGTTTAACATTTTTGGAAGGAGTCTTCAGTTTCAGCGCTTTGTAAGTTTTCCACCATGGGAAAGTCTTCAGGACTTTACAGTTACATTTAATGGCATTTGGTAGACGGCCTTCTTCTGAGCAAATTACATTTATCTCATTTATACATTTATCTCATTTATACTGAGCAATTGAGGCTTAGCAGTCGGCTCTCCCGTCTGCGGGAGAAAATTAAATGTTCGCACTTCCACTTCTGCGAGTTTTTGTCCTACAAACATAAAACTGACATCCCCAAACCCATTGAACAGTCTACTTTCCAAATGTATATAGATCGAAACTACACATATTTTTAGAGCTTTGTGAGGAGAATAAAATGAGCAGCATGCACATTTGTTGTCCCACCCATTAGCAAAGAGAGCTATTCATATTATTAGCCCAAGGGCCCAACAGTGGTAGCTTGTCCGTGCTGGGGCTTGAACTCATGACCTTCAGATCAGTAACCCAAAGCCTTTAACCACTGAGCCATCACTGCCCTCACTTGACACTTTCTGGATTCTCTGTAACATGACACATTTGTCTTATTTAGATCAGGAATATAGAAAAATAGAGAGAGTGGAGAAGAAGCGACTATAGCTACTATAGTGTAAGTGATAACAGTAAATGTAACTATAAATGGATAACAGCACACCTCACCATCACGGTTTATTCCATATATACACTGTGCATACTTAGGCACATGAACAGAGTTCACATACAATGTCTAGTAATCTGTGTCTCACCTACTAATGATGCTCTTCATTTGCAGCTCTTTGTCTTCCTGCTGGCGTTGAAGTCTCTGCTCAGCATCCTCCAGACGGTTCTGGTACTGCAGCAGCAGCTGTTGAGCCTGATCGTCCTGAGAGTGCAGCCGAGACTCACACTGCTCCAGCTGCTGCACACACATGCGTAGCTGATCCTGCAGCATGGATATCTCTGCCTGATACTGAGAGCGAGAGAGACAGCTCATGAGTGACATGCAGTAAGCACACACATGCCCATCACACATGGACATGCCCTGCTACCACAATCGCTATTCGTTTATTTATAGTCCCCTCCGAAATTATTGGAACAGCAAAGTCAATTCTAGTGTTTTTGTTATACAGTGAAAACATTTGGGTTTGAGGTCAAAAGACAATTATGAGACGACAGATCAAAATTCCGGCTTTCATTTCCCGATATTTACACTTGCATGGCACCTTTTGTTTGAACCCACCCATTTTTCAAGTGATCAAAAATACTGGAATATGCTACTGAGAGGTGTTTCTTACTGCCCAGGTGTGTCCTGTTACACTGATTGTTTAAACACTTAAATGTTGAACACTGAATATCTGCTCTTGGTTTGAGCCCTGGATTTCACCTGGGTTTCAAAACTGCATTTGCTGTTATAAAAGATAAACCAACATGAAAACCAGAGAGCTATCTATGGGAGAAACACAAGCTGTTCTGAAGCTGCGAAAAGATGGAAAATTCATCAGAGCCATTGCACAAACAATGGGCATAGCCAGTACAACAATTTGGAATGTTGAAACCACTGGTGTATTGACAAACATTGTGCAAGCTGTGAAGAAAAACCAGTCAGTGACATCACCAACAACCTCTACAGGTCAGGGACGAAGGTATCACAATCCGCTGTATTACAACCAAATCATATGCTACCAAATATTAAGTATTGCTTACTTTAATTCATTTTAAGACTATCTGTTCAAAAACTCTTGCGCACCTAAAAATTGGGTCTGACACCAAAAGTGCCATGTTCCAAGTTGTTTAACATATCTAGGTAATCTATCTTGTAAATACCAGGAAATATATTTTGATCTCATGCCCAAATATCTTCGTTGCATAACAAAAACAAAAGAATTGGCTTTGCCGTTCCAATAGTTTCGGAAGGGACGAAGTGCAGATTGCTACCTTTATTTCTGAGCGTGTATATGCAAATATTTAAAGCAGAGCAGGGGGAAAAGAGAAAGCGAGAGAAGCGAAACATGGTGGACAGTGAAGAGGACATTCAACATATAAATAATTCAGAATCAAATATAAAAAATACTGTTTGATAAATCGTTGAAGTCGTTCAAAAGCGTTTTTGTTTTTTTTTAGTAGCGACGTTTACCCATATCTGGAAAATGAAATGATTTCACAACCAATATGCAGTAAGGATCTGTGAGTGAAGAGTTTAATACACTGGAGGGGATTTTCCCCAGACATAGATAAAGTTCAGAACCGCCAGTTGAAAACATTCACGTTATTAATGGTGTCTGACGCCTGTTCTGTCTCTGAACTGTCAGCTCATTCTTGAAAGTTATTCTAGACTTCTGAGTTGTATGTAAAAGTCTTTCTCAGTCACTTAAGACGTTTCAGATGTTTTATATTTCATTAACAAGACTTTATTGTACATCACTTTGACACAATGAGTTCAGCCTTTGTTCTGTCTTTAGTGCACTTCTGTTGAAAAATTACATTTGTTCAACAAAAAAAAAAAAAGAAAAAAAAGAATAGTATTTTATTTTTAATTCCTTCATATGGAGACACACAACTCAGTACCTAAATATATCACAGCAAGAAGGAATTACTGACATTAATATACTGGAAAGGGATTTTCAGGTTATTGAGGGATATGTTTAAAAATGGGATGAATGACTGAACTCCAGCTGCCACATTCCTTGGTTTTTATATTGGAAGGTATTTCAGAATTAATGATGCTATTATTTTATAAGTCCACAGAGAGAACATGTGTGCATATGATATACATAATGGAATTTGAAAATCACGTGAGGCATAGATCATTATTTTATCATAAACTTGGTTTTAAATGTATGTTTTAGAGGGTTTTTTTCTATGTATTTTGTTATGTTTTATACACTACCATATTTTCCCTGTCTTAAAGACAGTTTGATAAAAGGTCTAGGATTGAAATTGAGACCTTTCTCAATTATTTGTCTCTTGATCGCTGCATAATTCCTTATGTGCTAATTCATAATGCTCATGTAGTTATTATTATGCCACACAAATTTATGGAGATACTAGAGATCCAGATAATTTCTGCCTCTGGGTGGAGCTTAAATCTTCTCCAATTCCAGATTGCTGGTACTACAGCTGCTCCTAAGGCCATACTGACTTCTTATACATCCATAATGAACTTTTTCCACACTATCTGTTGTTACTCAGATGACGATGGGTTCCCTTCTGAGTCGGGTTCCTCTCAAGGTTTCTTCCTCTTAAAACATCTTAGGGAGTTTTTCCTTGCCACCGTCGCCACTCAGTGTCTTGCTCAGTTGGAATAAATTCACACCTTTAATATCTGTATACCGTGTTGATATTTCTGTAAAGCTGCTTTGAGACAATGTCTATTGTAAAAAGCGCTATATGAATAAAACTGAATTTAATTATTGTAGAATAGTAGAAATTGAGATGTGTGTGTGTGTGCGTCTGCGCGCGTGCGTGTGTGTGTGTGTGCGCACGTGCATGTGTATGTGTGTGTTTGGACTATTACCTTCTCATTGAGTGCCTGATCGTCCCTGCGATCTGTCTCTGAGTCCTGCTCTAAGTACGGCACATTCATCAACCATGCAGCCGTACGATCCAATGCACTGGGGATCACTGGGGAAGGGGCCTACACACACACACGCATGAGTATAGCCAAGTCATAAAACATCCACACATACCGTGAATGGGAAAGCCTTGTGTGTGCGTGCATCTTATATATATATATATATATATATATATATATTTATATTTATTTATGGACCATCAGATAATGTCCTAGATTACAGTCATCTATTCATGGAAAGGTACTATATGGCCTTGGTAACCTCACATTCAATAACAAGAGACAAAGAGAGAGAGAGACAGAGAGAGACAGAGACAGAGAGAGAGAGAGAGAGATGGAGAGACAGAGTTGTTGTTGGTGCTCCAGGGTTTCCATCAATCATTCAGGCCAAATCAATCAGATCCCCGGAGAGCAAATCCAAATCATTGAGAGGAAATGCCCTTCCTGTCCCCTTCAAAGTACAATTATGATCATCGACAGCAGTCCATATGCTTAGGGCAAAACCCCAGACTGCAATTACAGCCATTTACTGCAGGAAGTACATCTCTGAGGTAAGAACAGTTTCTTTAATACATGCTATTATAGAAACTATGGGCAATCTGAGCAAGGTTCTATGAATAGTATGTAAGTGATATCAAGTGAACTAACACCCATCCATCCATCCATCCATCCATCCATCCACCCACCCATCCAGTCATCCATCCATCCAGTCATCCTCCCATCCACACATCCATCCAGTCATCCACACATCCATCCAGTCATCCTCCCATCCACACATCCATCCAGTCATCCACACATCCATCCAGTCATCCTCCCATCCACACATCCATCCAGTCATCCACACATCCATCCAGTCATCCTCCCATCCACACATCCATCCATCCAGTCATCCTCCTATCCACACATCCATCCAGTCATCCACACCCACACATCCATCCAGTCATCCTCCCATCCACACATCCATCCAGTCATCCACACATCCATCCAGTCATCCTCCCATCCACACATCCATCCATCCATCCACCCATCCATGTCATCCACCCATCCATCCATCCAGCCTTCCATCCATCCATTTTCTCAACCTCTTATGCAAAATGACTGAGCACAATATACTGTTTAATCCTAGCTACACTTTAATGTAATTAACAGATAAAGTGTTCTGCATAGATACAAACACAGATATATTATTGGTTGTTTGTTTTGTTTTGTTTTTTAGAAAACCATGTATCAGGACTGGGATCCTGCAGAATGCAATAAAAATGCGTGCACCTAGAACATTCATACGTGCACCTAGAACCTACAATTGAAATATAATGTAATATTTAATGTAAAAATCCTTGCTAAATGAAATGATACAAATGTAAACAAGAGAAACAAACCTTGTGCTGTGACCGTTGCTTCGTCTCAGGACTGTCCCCTTTGGACGACGAACTCTGCTGACGAAGTCTCGCACCACTCCCCGGCCAATCGGGTGATGAAGAAACAGCGCTGCCGCTCGAGGGCCGTGGGTAAGGGACAGAGCTCAGCATGCTTGGCGGAGTCCGTCCACGGGGGGCGCCAACCTGTGTGGGTGGTGGTGGTTGGTCGATTCGACGCTGGGGCCCTGAGCTGTTTTGCCGTGGCACTGCAGATTGGCATCCTCCATGCTGTGCTTCTGTAAGCGAGAGCTGCCTTCTTGAAAACTCCCCAGAACGTCTGGCCAACTCATCCCCGACCCCACCCCCATGGTTCAGGAAGCTGAGTTTCCCGCACCCGGCTTCCTCATTGTTGCTGTGCGAGCTGAGAGAGCTGTGACATTCTGAGCCGGAGTCTCCACCAGTTGGCACTCTTGGGGACAAAGGCAATCCTGCCGCCATCTGGTACACGGGGTTCTGGAAAGAGAGAGGGGCAAGGAGCTGGACCGGCCTGCCTGGTACCACCTCTCCTGCTGTACTTATCGACTTCTGCCCC